GTCGCTCTGGGGAAGGATCTGCCCCTGGCTGTCGCTCTGGGGAAGGACATTTAGAAGATGCCCCAGATTATCTTTCTCAGTCCCATTCTATGCACAGCTTTACAGAACACGGGGAACAGTGTGAACAAAGACTTCCAGGGTAGAGAGAGCACCTCTCCTGGAAAGGGATTTGGGCCTCCAAGCTGGAGAACCTACCTCTTTAGTGGCCAGGAAGGGCTATCTGGGTGCTTGAGGGCCGAACTCCTACCATCATGTGATGCCTTTTTTTTTTTTTTTTTTTTGGTTTTTCTCTGTGTAGCCTTGGCTGTCCTGGACTTGCTTTGTAGACCAGGCTGGCCTCGAACTCACATCAATCCACCTGCCTCTGCCCCCCTGAGTGCTGGGATTAAAGGTGTGCACCACCACACCCAGCTCTCGTTTTACCATTCTCTATTCCTTGGTACTTTTAAGAAATGTTTTCAACGGTTATCCCCCTCCCTCAATCTCTTTTGCTTTTGACTAAGTCTTAATGTCAAAATGTGGAGCTGACAGGTCACACACAGAGAGGGGAAACCGTTACCGCAAAGACGTGGCTGGTTGTCCCTCTCTTCCCGTTAGGGTTCCTCTGTGTCAGTGAGCCACGGTACACTGACTTCCGGTCAAAAGAACCACCTTCTATGCCTTTGGGAAAATAGAGGGGAGGCACTTAATCAACCAGAGACCTAGGCAAATGAGTTCTTGTCTACCTCAGACGTTAGACAGCACCTCTGATGTGGTCATGTCCTCTGTGGAGAAGGCTTTCTACCGCGGTGCTCCTTTGCAAGGAGCACTCAGTGATTGTGTGAACACCAATTCAGAACGCTTCTACCTCTTTTAAGAGGGGCAGCTAAGAAAGCCAGTAGGAAAGGGTCAGGCCAAGAAAAGGGGTGGGGCCAGTGAACAGGAGGCGGGGCCAGTAGGAATGATGGGGCCAGTGGGAAAGGAGGCGGGGCCAAAGCTTTTAGGTCACTGGAAGCCGAGTTTGCATCCTTCTCTGTGGCCCTGGAAGAATAACAGGGAGCTTAGGACAATAGGGTCAGGGGCACATGCTGTTAGCATTTAGGCAGCCTGTTCCTGGATTGCTTAGTAACCTATCATGTCATCATGTGTCACCCGCCAGGTGTGGGGCAGATACAGTTCAACCTTCAGGAGCTATAAATGGACCCGGCTCTTACCTCTCTCTCTTCCTCTCTTTTGCTCTTGCTCTCTCCTGCTCTCTCCCCTTTCTCTGTTGGGGCGTCCCCTCCCTTCCTCCATCACATCTCTCTCTCTCTCCTTCCCTTTATCCATCTCCATTCAATAAACCTCTTTCATATAATATCTGTTGTGCGCATCATTTCTAAAATAGCAACACATGCATCTTGTGACAGGACAATGGGCCTGAGGTGCTGGTACTCTGGTCTTCAGGGCAGAAGTCTTTTAGGCCTGTGGCTGCAGAATTGGGGGCCTTGGCCTCCATCCTTAACCAGCTGTTTGTGTTTCGATGAAGGGGTTGACAAAAGCCCACACCTGCATGGCTCAGGTGGGAATCTCTCGGCTTAGAGGGAAATGGGGTTGGCTCAGAGAGCTGTCTCTCCAGACCCATATTCAGGCCCATCCCCCTTCTTCTCTCCTCTCCTCTCCCTTCCCTTTCCTTTCCCTCCCCTCCCTTCATCTCTTCCATCCTTCACCTCTTCCTTCCTTCCTCCCTTCATCACCATCTTCCTACCCCACCTTGCTTGGCCCTCTCCTTCCCTTTCTTTTTGAGAGCTGACTCATAGACACATGGCTGTGCATTAGGAACTCACGTTCCGGGTTAAGTTCTGCCTGTTCCAGGGATCAGCATTGAGTGGAGAGCATGTAGCTGGCTTGGTAGGTGTATGGACCGAGCCCCGAGAAGCTGCCATGGTGCCATGCTGGCCCTGGTAGACCCAATGATGAGCCACCTTGGCCATATGCTGGCAGTGAGATGGTAGGAAAAAACTGGAAGGGAGGCTCAGGGTCTGCAATGGCCTGGTGGAGAGATGCTCTGGCCTTGGGCTGAGTGTGAGTGGCCTCTTGGCAGGGCTTAGTCTGTCCTTGAGGCCAGCCATGAGGAAGAGCTCACTTCTGTCTTCTTCAGGAGCCCCCAGATTTCGACAACCGTTCCTCCTCATCCCCTCTCTAAGTTAAACCCAACTCTGAGGGCCTGGGGGTACTATCCCTCTCCTTCCAGAGAACCTGATGTGTGCTGGGGTCTCAGTGTGCTGGGATCTCAGTGGATGCAAAAAGGAGTCTCTTCCCTTCCCCATCTCTGCTTTCCGTCTGGCAGGAGGGAAGGACCCTCCTCCTCTGTCACACACTCTTACCGCCCCGGTGTGCTACCCAAGTGCATGGGGGAAGCACAGACTTGACCCTCTGAAACTGTAAGGCTGCATAAGCCTTCCATCCTATGAGTTTCTCAACAGGATTTTTCACAGTGATAGAAAAAGTAAGTAATGCACTTCTGTGTGCCCAGGGCAAAGCTGATGTCCTTGTCACCACGGAGACTTCAAGGTCTTCTAATGGCCTGATATCCTGTGCTCTCTGTAGGGACTGTTTATACCGAAACCATGGAAACACTAGCACTACCAGCACCACCTGCCCTTGTTGAAGGCCACTCTGAACAGCACGCATTGTCCCAGGGTGCCACAGTGGCCCTTCTGGGTGTTCTTTGGAGACAGGGCCGAGTGTGGGTTCCATGGATTATGGAGGAGTGTACAAAGCCTCGCTGGCTGTGTCTCTCCTCTGAGCTCAGTTCTCAGCAGTAAGGCAAGAAGGGGAGCCAGCAGCTCTTACCTTGACTGCTGGGAGAATACTTCCTCCTCAGGAGATTGGGCACCGCTGTTGCCTGGGAGGAAGAGAACACCTCTGGGCATCATCCTGTGGTGTAATTTGAACCGACTTGGAACTAATTTTTATTCTGACTTTAATTATCAAGGTCACCTCTTTTTCATTCTCTGCCAATAGTCAGACTCAGCACTACAGGAATGTACACGGTCTGTAAATTATACACCAATACTTATGTGGAAGATACACACCAGGGAACTGTTTGTTTTGGGTGGTGGATTGGAAAGAGTACAAGGACCTGGGTTCAAGTTGCAGCACTGTTTCTTGCTACCACATGCTACAAACTCATCCTGTGTGAACACCAGCCTCGGCCTTTGTAAAGCACAGATTCACAGTTGTAAATCATATTCCCTAGAGTTGTTGTTTGCAAATTTCTCCTTCCTCCTTTTCAAGTGACCGCCTCTCTGCAACATGGTAAGAAGTCCACTCTCTGATTAGCCTTTTCAGGAGTGGCGAGACCAAATGTCCCAGCCACAGAAAGATTTCCCTGTGTCTGGGGTTCTTTCATGTCTCTAGCAGCAGCAGGGAGAGCTTGGAGCCTCTGGGCTGGGCTTTTGGGAACTCACAGGAAAGCTATGGATTTCTGTCAGGACCCAGGGCCCAGTAAGGACCCTGCTGTTATTCTTACACATTTGACCTTGGACAGAAAACAGCAGCACTGAGAACTGGTAAGCTGACAAATGGCTTCACTATGGCTCTCAGTGGATACCTGGGCCAGGGTAAACAGGGCTTCTGGATAGCAGGCCTGGGGACAGCACCCCAATCCTGTCCCTAATATCCCCTAGATACATGGACTCCTCCCAACTCCACTCTCTTTCACCCACACCCCCTCTGAGTCTTCCTTGTGCTTTTCTCATCTTTGGGCCATTTTCCGATATAGTGGACCTGAGACTGTTAGGTGTGGAGGGATAAAAGCCCCAGCTTTGTTGCCCCTGAATAGGACAGCTGGGGTGTGGCATCCCTGTCTGCAGACATGCTTAAAGAGCTGAGCCAGGAAGCCTGGGTGTGCATGTGTCTTCTACTTGGCCCCATCTCTGCATCTCGCTGGGAACTCTGGAATTTTGCCATCAGGTGCTGTCCTGACTGCTCCCACCCCATCTGTGCACCCTTCAGACATGGCTGAACTGTCCAGTCTCCCTCCACAGCCTCCGGCAGCAGCAGGTGCTCTTTTGTGGAAGCTGCCTTGGGAGGCATCAATCGAACGTACCTCGGATGTGCTGGCTTGGTCTTCAGGGTCTGCAGGTGGATCTTTTGGGATCCTGTCAAGTTTCTCAGTAAGCCGGGGAAGAAAGATCTGGAGACCAAGGAAGACATATGTGTTATTACCATCTTGTTGAACCTTGATATTCAGAGTGGGCATCAAGCACAGCCGACATGATGAAGGACAGTGGTTCCTGCAGATACTGGTCAAACATGCTGGGACAGAGACTCCCTCCAAACAAACAAACAAACAAACAGACAGACAGACAAACAGACAAAGCTGTGGATGCAGCAAGTTAAAATACACTCTACAGCTAGCTTTCCGTTTCAGATACCAACAAGCAGTTCTTGCCATAGTATGAACTTGAGGTCACACAGGGCATTATTTACATGGGAAAGTCAGGCTTTGTGTTTTTGTTTTTATCTGAAACATCGCATTTACCAGACATCAAAGATTTAACCACTGACACTACCTAGGGGCACTGATGATCATTCTTCATTCTTCTTCCCTAACCCCCCACCCCCATCATTGCTCTTTCTGAAATCTCTGACCAGACACTGGGCTCTGCTCACCCTGTAGGGACAGATCCAGTGGCATGAGCCTTCCCTTCAGTTATTCTAGCCACAACCACTTCAAAATGCTAATGCATCAAGTCCACAGTTGGGGTTCCACATAGGGAAGGTTATGTATTAATGAATGGGCATGCATGCGTGACATGTGTAGGCCAGGGGACAGCCTTGGATGTCATTCCTCAGATGTTACCCACCATTTACTTACTTATTCATTTATTGGGTTTTGCTTGTTTAGTGTTTTGTTTGTTTTTAGAGGGGGTATCTGTCTTCCCGTCTCTCCTCCCCAGCACTGGGATTACAGAACACTAGCACCACCATGTCTGGTGTTTTTCTTTTTTTTTCTTTTTCCTTCTCTTTTTACAAGTTCTGGGGTTTGAACTCAGTCCATCATGATGGTGAGCCTGGCACTTTATAGATTTCCCATCTTCCCAGCATACAAGGAGGTTTTCTTTGATTGTTTGTTTATTTTTCAGTTCAAAGTAATAAATGATTAAAAAGCTCCCACAGGGAGCCAGCTCATCAACTGGCTGTGGGAAACACGATTAGCAGCACCAAGAAAATCAGAGCTTTTACTCCATGGGTTCTTGGGAGGTCCTGAGGGGCACTGTGGGCTACTGAGGAGGTCCAGGGGTGGGGACAGTGTCACAAACTTGGTGCTCCATTCCTCTACCCAACTCACTGGGATGCCTGACTTTCTCCGAGGCTTTGCTGAAGGTTTCACTGTGAGTCCTGCTGCCCTCAGAGCTGCAATCCTGGACTCGATGTCTGAGACCTAGAAAAGAGAGGACGGATGACGGGCATGACAGAAGACAGATAGACAGAGAGGTGTCACCCAGCATCCCATCTTAGATCATAGAGATCCCCAGCTCAGAGACTCCACCACAGCCTGGCCCTGGGGCATCCCCTCCCTTCGTCCCCAGTTGTCAGAATCTTGCAGGATGTCTCGGGGTGCTGTGAGCTTTCTGGAGGCACAACAAAGGCTGGCTCCCATTTGTGGGATGAGGTGTATGTGGGGGACAGCTGGACTAATCCTGACCTGGCCACTCCCACCTGCCACCACCAGAGCCACCCTTGCCTTGTTCCCACCTCCTTGACCACTCTTCCCACAGGGGTCAGAAGTATCCAGATGCGGAAACCAAGTTGGTTGCCTCCTCCACTTCTTTTTGTCATGGAACTAGTGACTAAGCTCAGGGCCTTGCACATGCTAAATGCAGGCTGCACCACTGAATGACGTCACCAGTCACTCCCTCAGTTTATTTCTGTGCTCCTGAGGGTTCTCCAGCCACCCTCCCCTGGAACCCTCCTTTCCACTTCCCTACCACAGTGTTTGTGATTTGGGGTTCCACAGCCAATCCTTGATCTTACCAAGCCTGCATTACCCCAGTGCCTTTGTATGTTCTGCTCACTCTGCCTAGACGCCCGTCCACTCAAGCAGTGGCTCTCAACCTGTGGCTCATGACCCCTTTGGAAACCTAAGACCATAGGAAGACTCGGATATTTACATTACAATTCATAATAGTAGCAAAGCTACAGTTATGAAGTCGCAATGAAAACAATTTATGGTTGGGGGGTCGCCACAGCATGAGGAACTGTACTAAAGGAGTGCAGCATTAGGAAGATTGAGAACCACTGTCATGGAGCTTCGGTGCTGGTTTCTCTTCCCACCCACACCTTCTCTAAGCAGCCGTCCCTGGGCACTCTGTAAGATAAACCTCCATATTGTCCTCATACCTAGTTCATGATGGAGTAATTCTGTTTGTTTTCATTTATTGTTTTGGGAAGAGACACACATTACTGCGCTCACTGTCTCCACAGCTGTCTCCTGTGTGACCTACCCACATCAGCCACTTTTTAGAAGGAAACCCTTAAAGGAAAGGCTTGGGCCTGCTTCATCCACTGGCTGTGAGTGGTGGCTAGCTCACACTTCCTTTTCTCGGATACTGGCAACCATTGCTGATTAGGGCAGGGGTGCTGGCTGTCTCTATAGCCTGGGGACTCTAGGGGGAGGACACCGAAGTCCTCCAGCTGTCCCTGGAAGAAAGACTGTGCATTCTGGGCTGCCCTGGGCTATGCACTGTTGATGTATCTCTCCTCTAAATCCCGCCCTGCAGTCATTGCTCAGGCTCACGGGGACCCTCTGCCGAGTCCATCACGAGCCCTGCTGTCCTGCCTTCTCAGCTTGTGCCTGGGCTCTGCTCATGGGATGGGAACAGGGACAACATGTACTCTTGTGGCTGAAAAATTTGCCTGCACTCCAGGTTGAGCAGGGAGTGGAGAGGTGGGAAGGGCCCCCAAATTCGGCTCTGCCCCCCACCCCCATCCTGGCTGCCAGGGAGGCTTCTGTGAGTCTACAGGTGGACTGTTGGGTTGTTAGGCATCTGATTGGGTTCCAATCACCGGGACATTGTCGTTTTGGGGGAAATTCCAGCCAGGGTGTGTGGGGCTACCTCACTCTCAGCTTGCTGAACCTCAGAGGCCGTCATGGCGACTCTGTCCTCCATCTCGGACAGCTCTTCATCTGGGCTCTTTGTAGCCCGAGTAGGGCTCCCAGGGCCCTGAGGGCTTCTTTCCTGTGTCTCCGCGTGCCCTGTGTCTGTGCATACCTAGGGACAAGAAGGGGGACATGGGCGGCTGGTACTGTTGATGGCCCACAGCTGGTCTCCAACCTCTTTACTTGTGTGGTCTTCTCAAGCCCCACCCCCAAAAGTAGCTAGTTAGCTGCCCTTCCTGCCAGAGCAGATGGACCTGGGACTGTCCCTCTTGCCCTGCTCTTTGCCTGGGACCGTAAGGGAGACCTCACCTCTGGGGACACCGTGTGGAGAGTGTCCGGCTTGGCCTCATCTTCTGACGAGGTCCCCGGATCACTGATGTTGCTGGTGAGCTCTTGCAGCCTCTGCCTGAGCATCTCCTCCTCTGTATCAGCGCTGGGGTGTGATTCCATAGCTGGTTCCTGACAGGGCCAGGCAGCAGCTCAGAGGCAGCCTTGGGAGGCGCGCCAGCCTGAGAAGACTCCAGCACCCATGCCCTTAAGTTTAAGACCCACCCTTTGCCCTACTTCAGGGTGTCCTTAAACGTGTTGACCTGGGTAAAATATGTATGTAAGATTTATCACCTTCACTATTGTAGGGCACACAGTTTCTCCTCATCCAGCACTGCCTTCTCCCACCGAACATTCCCCTCTTGCTATACTGAGACTCCAGTCCCACTGGACACTCATTCTCGCTCATCTCCCCAGTCCTCAGCATCCAGGACTCTCCTTTCTGTCTGCAAGGCTGTCCTTCCTGGGCTCCTCCTACAGGCAGGAGGCTCTGCTTTCTGTGGGCAGGTCCTTGCATGTGGGCCAAGTTCTCCAGGTTGACCCACATCATAGTATGGGACAGAACATCTTTCTTTTTTAAAAGATGACCCATTAGACTATAGGGTTTGAACAAGATGTTTCGCTTTCTTTGTGGGGGAAGTGTTCATAAATGGATGGGCCCCCTTCCATACCCCTACTGAGTCCACAAACCCTTCCAATTATTCCCCAGCCCTGGTCCTATGTCTGTGTACCTAAACCATAGCCCTGGGCATTTGGCTGGGGTTCAGTGGCTGAGGACAAGAATCTCGGTTCTCTCAGTTGTGAGACTGAGGTGTTCCACAACAGTGTTCTTCTGGTTCTACCTAGCAATTCTGTGTTCCCATGGGTTTTCAGGGTCTGTCCTGGACTCACATAGCAACAAAGGCCCTCATATTTTCCGGTTATTGTGAGTCCTGGGATAAGGCTGAGGTGTTACTCCATACATCCATGTCACTTTTGCAACAAGGATTAACCCCTCGCAGGCCAACAGCCAGTTGCAGAATGTTGCTGATAGAAGAAAGAGAAGGTGGTGGTGTGTGATGTCTTAGCAGCACCATCGTCGTAGGGGAGTCTTCTCGAGTTCAGATCAAGGGAGGCAGCCTGCATGGGAGCCCATCCCTTTGCTCTTAGATGAGATTTTAAGGACCTAGAATATCTATTTGCTCCATCTGGTTAAAAAAAAAGTCAAAGAAAGCCCACATGCATGTCTCTGGTTGGCTTTGGATGCCAGACAGTTGCCATCTCTTCGCTGCCTAAAGCTACTCTCTAACGTGACGTACTTTGGCCACAGGAAAGTGGCATCATGACTTCAGGTGGAGTTGGGTCATGAGGGGCTGGAAAGGGACTACCGAGAATGATGTGACCACTAGCAGCTGGCTGCTGCTTGTCTATCCTGGGCTGCCTTGACTCAGGGATAGAGACTGGGTGTGAGAGCCACGGAGTTTCTTCAGTGAGGTGTGCAGGTTGGGGATGCTGGCCTCAACGCCCATAATGTCTACCTCCGGCTGAGGGTTCATCTCACGGCGGCTTACGGCACACCTCCCCATACCTCATCGCCTCGTTACTGGCCACCGGCACCTTTTTGTGGGTGCGCTATGCAGGACCCCTCATCTACCTGTCCTTGGAGCACGCTGCACCAACCAGCTGCAAGACCGCTGAGGCTCTTCCCCTGAGGCTCTTAGTGTGGACTTCAGCCTCCCGTCATGGAAGGCTGTGGGCTGACCTTGCAAAGGCCAGGGTGTTACCTGGGCGGAGGGCGGCAGGACTGCGTTTTCCAGGTGGACCAGCATGTGCTCCACAGCCGACACTCGTTTGTTCAACTCCAAGATCTGCAGCAGAGGGGCAGGAGCAGGTTCTGGCTACAGCAGAGGGCCTCACCCTGACTCCCGGCAGCACAGGTGCCTTCCTCCTCTGAAGCCCCAAACCCAGCTAGAGCCACTACTTACGACATGGCCCCAGAAGTTAACTGTGAAACAACCGCTGGCACCAAGGGGGCTAAACCAAGAGGGGGTGAGTGAGGATGGGATGACCACATAGGAGAGGTGAGAAAACCAGCCGGACAAGGCGGCTGAAAGTAGTGACCGTGTCTGCCACTGGGCAGCTCCTGGTCACTTAATGCCCAGGAAAATGTGCATTAAGCAGGACACGGTGACCAAAGACATTAGGTAGCAAGAGCCCTGGGTCACTTGTGACCCAAAGCACAACCTCCTAATTCTTTGACTCACCAGACTTTTGAGTCAGCCAGTCTATTAGCTTCCAGACAGAGCCTGGAAAATCAATTCCTCTTTGCTCTGCCACCTCCCCCACCCAGTAGCCTCTGTGTCCCAAATTATCTCATTTACCGCTCGCCTGGCCTTATGAGAGGGAAATGACACTTACAGGGGCGGGAAGCAGCCACTGTTGGTGGGTAATTACCACAGCACTGAGGACTTGGAGTGGAGGAAGACCACACGCCAGAAATGTCAATGCAAATGTCTTTGAGCCCTCTGCCTATGCTTGCCCTCTGCGGGTGGCCGTGACTCAGGCTTCATATGGCCTGGCCCATTTGGTGGTTGTTGTGTTGGCACTGATCAATATCCTCAGTAGGCTGCTCAGCACAGCTTTGTCGACTTGCCTAGGAGGCACAGGTGGGGGCTTGGAGAAAGGAAAAGCCACCGCCTTCTCAGTGCCAATACTGTCATTATGAATCCCACATGGGGTGAATGAGAAGGGAAGCCGATAGGGAGCCTGGGAAGCTGGGGCTGGAGAGGATGTCAGAGGCTGGGAGGAACCAGGAGACCACAGACCAGGGAGTTAGTTGCCTCAGAGGGCTCAGTGTGGCTTTCTGATGAGGCCCTGGCTGTGGCTAGACCCTGTGGTTAAGTGGGGACCACCAGCCACTGACACAGGCAAGGAACACAGCCAACTCCAGCTTTTGCCTGGTCCCTGGAGCTTCCGGTGCTTTGCAGACAAGCCCACAACACAAGGGGTCTCCTGAGGGACCAGTTTCAAGAAGGGCTGGAGTCTCCCATGTTTGCCAGGATGGAGGCAAACACAGGAGGAAGATAAGCAGCCTCATTTTTCTTGTGGAAAACAAACGGCCTGAGTGTGGCAAGGACACTGTATCCTGAGACTTGAGGGGCTGAGACAGGAGGATGGCAAGCTCTTAAGACCAGCCTGGACCACACAGGGAGAGCCTATCTCACAAATCCAAGGGGCTGTGTGTGAATCAGTTTTAGAGAACTCACCTAGCATGCTTGAAGCCCTGGGTTCCATCCCCAGCATGGAGTGGGAATTTTTCTCAGCCTCTCTCTTCAGAATTCCCTCCACTATCCATTTCTTTCTTTTTTTTTTTTAACTTCTTTCTTTTTTTTAATTTTTTTTTAACTTTTATTAATTACACTTTATTCATTTTGTATCCCCCCATAAGCCTCTCCCTCCTCCCCTCCCGGTCCCACCCTCCCCGCCTTTCTGCATGCATGCCCCTCCCCAAGTCCACTGATAGGGGAGGTCCTCCTCTCCTCCTTTCTGATCTTAGTCTATCAGTTCTCATCAGAAGTGGCTGCATTTCATATGTATGTAAACCATCATAGCAGGCTACATAAGTCCTGTTCAGGCTCAGAACTCTGGACCCAGCTTGTTTGAAATGCAAATGTCACCAAGCCCTACAGGAAGGAGCAGGCTGAGTGTGGGCCAAACCTTGCTTGAACACTGGAATCTTTTGTCTTAAAGACGGCACATGAAGTTCTTCTCTGGCCAAAACAATACAGATTGTATGGCTGTCTCTTGGGGACTCTGCTTTCAATCTTGGTGAGCGTATAATAAAAATTAATTATAATTTTGTTATTATCACAGAAGACACAAGGGGTAACAATATTTTAAATTTCTTCTTAGAGACAGATTCTGGATATGGACACGCCTTGGCTGGCATTGAATTTGAGATCCTTCTATTGTCTTTCAAGTCATGATTAGCCACTCTGCATGGATCTTTTTTTCCTTTCCTTCCTTTATTTTCCTTTTCTTTTCTTTCATCTCTCCCTCTTAACATTTTGAGGAACTCCCATACTTAAGTAGTTGACATTATGTTATACAAATTCACTTCAATGAAGCATGCATATTGACATATCCCTATGATATGGATAATTTTAATGTCTAAAAGTGCTGAAAGGTTCAGTTTCTCTAAAGTGACTGGGTGAGAAAAAGCAAAAACATTGACCCAGAGAAGCACAAAGACGGAATTCTCTCAAACCCCATTACCTGAGTTTCAGGCATAGCCCGGGCCCTCCGCTTGGCATGCTGGGAGGCCGCCCTGAAACCCTGAAGACTGTCTTCATCAGAGGTATCCACATCAGCCAGGTACTGTGAGGGGAACTGTTTGCCCCTGACATCATCTATCCCTTTGGAAAAAGATGGGGTTTGAAATGGAGTGAAGAGTTAAGAGCCCAGGAACGTGTTTGCCCCAGGGAGGCAAAGTTAGCCGTAGCTGAGCTCCATTAGGGTTTGGTGGTCACAGGACCATGGATAACACACACACGTCAGGAAAGAGGCCCCTGTTAGCCTGGATGGAGGGGTGGCTTGCTTAGCAGGTCCATCCTGCTTTTTAAATCCTCCCTAGAAACTACCTAAGTCGCATTGCACCCCTCCAACACAGCATGGGAGACCCTGTGCCAAGAATACCTCAAGCCCAGCCCATACTCACTCCCTACGAGTTGTATGTTGCTTTAAGATGCTAAGTTGGTCACATTTGTCAACAGATGTGATCATCTCCTTTAGTCCCTACAACTTTGGTATGAGCTAGATGTCGCTGCCAGGACAGTGAGGGTCAGGGAAGTCATGGTGGCACACCATAGAATCACATCTGTGCTCCATCACAAGAAGAGCTGGCCACACTCTAACACTCCTTACTAACCACCTTCATTGTGATACCCGCCCCCCCCCCCCCAACTCCCCATCCAGGAGATGCTATGTAGAAAGTCCTGTGTGAGAAACAAGCTGCTGCCTGGGTTCCGATCTCAGAACTTTCCAGACATAAGGGCCTTTGCTTGCCATTGCTAGGTCTCTTGCTCCTGGCTTGCCTCTTCCACGTGCTCCAGGGTCATGCCATCATGGGACAGAATATAAATTCTTATTGCTGGACAGGCTTATTTACTCCTAGTTTTAGGAACAAGTGAAACCCACCTCTATTCAAAGTCCCTAAGTCCCTAGTCACTGCAGGGAACACAAGTTTACAGTCTCCAAAGACCAGCAACAAGGAGGCTGGAGTGCACAGGTCTCTCTGGAGCAGCTACACATGGCTGGTGGAAGGTGCGTGCTGTCGTGGACTTATTTATTCTAACTTAATCTGTGCCGAATTTAATCACTGAGCCTGGCAGACCTTGGACACAGGAAGAGGCATCCTTGGGAATTTCACTTGGAAGCTGAACTGTCTGATAAAATCTCTTGCTCCTTGTCTCTCGATGGGACCTGCTCTGCTCATCTCCCAGTGTAGCTTTGGACTAGGGGGTTACTGTAGACATTTTGAGGAAATTGTCAGGTTTTTACCCTACACCAGTGACTGTGGACCGGGGATGACTTAAGCCCTTTCCTGATATTTCTAGGCACCCCAGGGAAGCACTGAGCCCAGGGAGGAAAGGGTCTGTGGGGTTTGCTGAAGGACAATCACACTGAAAGAATCAGTCTGTCTATTTAAACTAGGGGGAGGGCCTGTCTTCTTAGGGATGCCTCCTCCCCAGAGTTCCTCTGAAAGAGGTTGGCTATAGCACCTACCAGGCATAGCTGTGGTCCTCAGGGCTCTCTTGCAGGATGCCCCGGGCTCGTCCAGTTCAGTGTGAGCATCCTCTCCGGAGGGTAAAGGGCTGTATGATTGCTCTCCTGGACCAGGGTGACACTCCACAGCCCCTGCACCAGCCTCTTCTAGCCCCTCGGGCTCCAGAGAGGTGGTGTCCTCAGAGTACGGCTCACCTGAGAGGGACTGAGCACACGGGTTGTTAGCTTTGGTCTCCAAAGCTGAACACTAGACAGCCATCTGCTCTGGCAGCATGCTACTCATCTCTGTCTTTGAACACTGCCAAGAGCATTTACCACCCTTCTGCTTCATGTCTGGGACACTGGGGTTCCCTGCGACACTGTGCTCAGGCGTCATACAGGAGACAGAAGTAATTCTGAGCAGCCAAGGGCTCAGGCTCACTCTGGCTGAAGCCTCGAAAACATTCCTGCAAAGATATTTACTTCTTTCTTGGGAGAGAGGACATGGTTACTGTGTGTACTTTAGCAATCACTGATGGTCAGAGGTCAGAGATCAAAGGGTAGAGGTGAGGTTTCCTGAGAAGCCTGTCCTTGGGCTGAGGGGTCTGTATGGCACCATCATCCCCAAGAGATCTTGGTATTGAGTGTTTCCAGAAGCCACTGTCCTGGCTTCTCTATAGTCTGGCCTTGGCTGGTGGAGTGGCATAGGTTCTGGGGGATGGAAGGTTGTAGAAGGACCTATGGACCAATATCTCCTTAGGGGCTGGCTTCTGTGGCCCCTGTTCTCTGTCCTCCCCTTCCACAGGAGTCAGAAGGTCCAACCCTACCCAGCTCAGGCCAGCAATGCCTGAGACCAAGAGCTGCTCAAGGGTTCACAACAAAACCACCTGCCACAGCCTTGCACTCACAGCTATTTTTACTACCTATCAAAGTGTCACGCACACCAGGCATGGATTCTCATCTCAAAACCAACCCTGGAAGGCAGAAATGAGGGGATAAGATTTCAAAGAATTCCAAGGACATGACTAAAGAGCAGTGGGCGGTGAGAACAGCATTTTCATCCCGGAGACCAGCCTAATTTGAGCATGAGGCCCCAGTAAGGCACAGGCATAGCTCAGTGCTGGGTCCTGACTGGCTCCTTGGTGGATGCCATTGTCCATTCTGCACTCCCAGGGCCAAGCACCAACTGTCCCATTCCAGGCTCCTAACTCACCTGCCCGGCTTGAGGTTTCTACCCGCCTCTAGGTCTCCAAGTGTTTTTCTCAGTACCCTGAGATGCTGGCCTTGGGAGAATATGAAGTTTCTGAATTCTATGCTCCCACGCCCTGTCCCCAATTGTCCCCTTGCCTTGAGTCTGATGTGACCACCTGGCTATATGACACTGTGTTCTCAAGTGTAGCTCCAACTGGGGCCCTAAGCCCCTACCCTTCGGCTCAGGTTCCTAAGAGGGGTCGGGAGATGGGCAGACACCAGAGCGCACTGACCTGCAGGCTGTGTGTAGACTCAGGGACTGAGGAAAGGCCCTGGCTGTGGCTGCAAGGCTGCAGAGAGTGATCTGAGTCTTCCTCAAAGTCCACGTCTTGGAAGGAGAGCAGGCGCTTTTTCTTCTTGGGTGTAAGATAAGCAAGACTTGTCAGACCCCAGCCCCATACTCAGCCTCCCCTGGGCACACCCACCCCTAGCTAGAAATGGACCTGAAGGATCCCTGAGGTGGCAATGGGGTCCGTAGTGGCTACCCCATCAGAAGATCCTGGTTGAGCTGTAAGGAAAGTGGGTTCTTGGCCTTCTGGGTGCTGCCTAGTAGGGTGACAGCTGCTGAGGGGCTGAAGGTACCACACTCAGGAAGCATCCTGGGACATTAGCTCACTGACTATGGGGTGGAGATAGGTGACCACTCCATCTTTTAAAAACTATATGTGAGCATTTCTTTACAATCTCCTCCCCTTAGTACAATTACTCTGATCCTTTAAAGGTATGTTTTATTGTAGAATGTTCTAGACATTGGCTGGGTTGCATTCTGTGAGCTCAGCAAATGATGTGAACTGGATGTTGTGCAAGAGATAACAGAGTGTTCCTAGTGCATCTCTCAGAGCTGATTCTCCAGCTCTGTCACCTTCAAAGAGTTCAAGGCCAAACTCACACTCTTCAGCCTACTTCCCCCTCCTCCCTCTGACTCACCATTGTCCTCCTCTCTCAAACCAAGGCACTGCTGAGCCTGCCTCCACCCTCAGAAACAATTCAAAAGATAAATGAGAAGAGAAAAAATGTCTCATTTATCTTTTATCTTATTTATCTTTTTGTCTTTATAACAACCACTTAAAAAGATGAGTCTCGTAATCTGAAAGGTGCAAGGGCCGCATCCCTGAAGGTCCCTGGAGCCATTTGGACACAGGTCTGCCCTCCTGTTCATCTTTGTCACAGCCCCTGAATGCCCCCGAACACCAATCTATCAGGACAGGTCTTGCAGTGGGATTTGTTCATCTTTACCTTCTTTTGGAGTTCTCGAGTGAACATTGGGCTCCCATGCTTAGGAGGAGGGGCTTAGGATGGAGGGAGGAGCTAGGTAGGAAGGAGGGGCTTCGGTAGGAGGAAGCCAAGCTCAGGGATGTGGAGCCACTGAGGACACAGAGGTTCCCTGGTGGCTATGGGGTGGGAGCTGGGGAGAAATGCAGGTGCCTGAGGTATGGCATGGCTGGCAGAGATGTAAGGGAGCTGGGAGGCATGAGGATGGGCAGAAGACCTATGGGATTTGGGGAGAGATACAGTGCCTGGGGAGGGCTTACTTTGCTGTTGATGGGCTGGGCCCGGGCTTCGGAGTCCAGGTCTCCATCCTCATCTGTCTGCTCACTGTCTCCACTCTCCTCTTCCAAGCTTGGTTCAGATCCACCTGCAATATATAGGTGCATGGCTTCACCCACAGAGGGCCAGAATGGGAGACCACTTAACGGTCTCTTGATTCATTCTTCCACTCCCCTGCTAACTACCCGTCTCTGTGGTGGTTTGCAAAAGAATGGCCCTCATAAGCTCATGTATTTATACTCAGTGTCCAGTTGGTGGAACTGTTTGGGAAGAATTAGGAGGTGTGTCCTTGATGGAGGAGGTGTGTCATTGGGGGGTGAGGGGATTGGGCTTTGAGGTTTCAAAAGATTTGTGTCATTCTTTCTCTCTCTGTCTCTTGGCTGTGACTCAAGATGTAAGCTCTCAGCTACTTCACTAGCACCAAGCCTGTCTGTCTGTCTGTCTGTCTGCCTGCCTGCCTGCTTGTCTACTGTCATGATGGTAATGGACTCTTACTCTCTGAAACTGTAAGCCCCAAATAAACTCTTCACAGCAATAGAAAATTAACTAAGGTGCCTCTCCCTCCCTTCCTCCCTCCCCCCCTCTGTTTCTTTCTCTCCCCTTCTCTCTTCTGTGTATATGTCCATCTACTCATCCATCCAGCCAAGCAGCTGTTCACCACTATGCCTGCCCATCTTTCTTTTCTTTCCTTCTATCTAACCACTGGCTCTGGCTTCTCAGGCTGTGTCCTAGCCCACAGTGGCTTAGTCACTTTAGACTTTCATCCATCATCCTGACTGTGGCTCTGCTACTATGAACAGCCCCCTAAGAAAAGTGCTTGAGGGAAAGAGGGGATCTGCTTCCTGATCTTGAACTCCTGGGTGGTGGGCCTGGGAGGCCCTCAGCTTGACTTTCCTTCTGCCTGCCACCCATGCCTGCTCAGTCTGAGCCTGAGCCTGCAGAGAGCGTGGTGGACAGAGGTGCATTGCAGGATGGCAAAATGGGAGGGGTCTGTGTCAGCCCAAGCAAGCAGAAAGGCTTTGGGACCATCAGCTGACTTCCTGGGGTGACATCAAAAGCTAAGCACCCCACAGCCTTCAGGATCCTTTCAGATATGGCTCTGACTTCTCTCTATGCAGGCCCTGGTCACACTAGATGTCTGATTAATCATGTTACACAAGTCCAAAGGGTTGTCCATGTTCCTGCCACAGAACAGAGATATCCTGGCTGGGAGGAAAACAAAATGGAAGTCGGCAGAGGCCCCACTGTTGACAGCTGTAAATCCTGCTGTCTGCATACACATGCGGGGCTTTGGGAAGAAAGGGATGGCTGGGCACCTAGCAACAGGTGAGTCATTTCGTTTCTCACACCAAGGCTGGTCCCCATGACGAGCCCACCGGACACCCTGGAAATAGGCATCACTCTGTGCAATGACACGTGCCCGGGCTGGGTCAGTTCTCAGAACAGCAACTTTACTCATTAAGTTGTTTTTTTCCCCCTCTTCTTTCAAGAGAGTCCTCTCCAGGAGGTTGGTGCAACGGTCAGCTGCTAAAAGCACACTGTTCGTGCAGAGGGTCTGAGTTCACTTCCCAACACCCTCACTGGGTCCTGGTGGTTTACGAGTACCTGTAACTCTAGCTCCAGGTGCTCTAGTATTTTTCTCTAACATCCAGGAACCTGTACAGTCTGCTCTCTCTTTCTTGATTAATTAAAAAAAAAAAAGATCTTAAAAGGGGTAAAAAAAAAAAAAAAAAAAAAAAAAAAAAGGAAGACAGTGTCCTCTCCTTCCGTGTACTTGGTCTTGACCTGCTGTGTGTACAGGAGCCCAGCAGGGGAGAATGAAGCTTTGGGGTCCTGGGGCTGAGACCTGTTTAGCTGGGTTGCTGAGAGTCGCTAAGAGGAAGGGCCGCTATGTTGTTTTTTTGTTGTCCCACAGCGCCACCTCCTGGTTATTATGGTGGTGACAGTTTTGAAATTGGCAGCTTATTGCAGTCAGGAAGCATAAATTCCTACAGCTCTCAAGATGGCTAGTTCTAAATGACAGACAGCTCCCTGGCTATGAGTCCTCAACATGGCGTAAAATTTGAGGAAAAAAAAAACTAGAAAAACAAGGACTTCAAATATTGGAATTGTTTACAGCAAGAGCTGGAAAGCGCAGGGGGCTGGAACATGACAGAGGACTCCTGAGGACTGCTTTTCACACAGAGGCCAGCCAACCACACGCTAACGGTTCTTCAACATCAAAGCATGCCTGGAACATGCCCAGGCCGGCTTCCTCCTCACCTCCGCCCTGCAGCCGCCCACAGAGGGACCGGATCACTTTGGCACTCCCGAAATGCTTGAAGCGAGCTCGCACGTGCTGGTAGTACCACTCCAGGGAGCCAGTCTTCACAACTCTGCAGGGAGACGAGCCTGAGGCAGTGTCTTTCCCCTTCCCCAGCCACCGAAGGGACACACGCAGCTCAGACACCGTCAGGGCCGCTCTGCCTCCAGGCTCACCTGGCCAAGTGGCAGGGGTCGCAGAGCCAGCCCTGCTCTTCTGGGTGGGTGTGGCTGCAGCTTTTGCAGACAAAAAGGTTGCACTCTAGACACTGCCGCCTGCTGTTCACGAGGAGCCGGTAGGGCTGCAGGCAGCGGGCACAGTGGGTCTCGTTCAGATGGGCTGTGTCCAACAGCAGCTCCCTCTTGGAACTCTCCTTTTGTATCTTGCCTTTCAGCCCCCTTGGGAAAATGCAGGAATAAGAAATACATCAAGCAGATGTTTCTACAAGTGTGTGAGTGGACACAGCGTGAACGCACACATATGCACTTCCAGATGCCGAAAAACAACGGCCCAAGCTGAGGGAAGGTGCTCAGAGGCACTCTGACTATTGGTTGGATGCCATCTCGCGCTCTTCCTGGAGGGACAAATAGGCTGGGCTTAGGGCTTACTCCTATAAGGCTAGAGTCGAAACCTATGATTTTCCCAGAAGTGACACTGCCCTTAAGCATTTCTGCGGCATTTATGGTTGAACCCTGTGCCCTCTCCTATGGGTAACAATCCCTGGGGCGAGGCCAGGTGGCATTTTCCGTAGCAAGTGGTTTTGGGTGTCTTCCAGCAAGCACCTAGCTGAGGCCCTGGACTGTTCTGCAGAGCCTGCCTGAGGTGCTTGGCTTGGAGAGTCTCCAGGTAGGAATCACCATGCAGCCAGAAGTCCCAGGAGAAACCTGTTCTTCAAGACCAGCAGCTTTGAAATTACCCAGCTTCCTGGCAAGGCTGCCAAGTGGAACCAGCTGCAACTGACTGGAAAATGTACCCCAGATCCCAATGAATGTACCCCTCTTGTTCCGAGTTTCACCGGCTACCTGCCAAAGATAATATTTTTAGTGTTAGATGGGATAATGGTAATCTGTCCTGAGTGAGAGAAATCAGCAGCACACTGTGTCCACTGTCTCCCGAGGACCTTCTAATTTTCAATGTCCATGGGACACTTCCTGTGCAGAAGTGTGAGGGGTGCTGGGAGGCAACATCTGGTTTGAAGTGGTACTGGCCCATTTCAACGGCCAACAAGAAAAAGAAGGGTATGCCTAGGACACACACACACACACACACACAGAGAGAGAGAGAGAGAGAGAGAGAGAGAGAGAGAGAGAGAACAGAGAGAATAGTCATAATTTTAGATACTACATTGTTTTTTTATACACCTTGAAAAAGTACTGGGCTTCATCATGGCATCCTCACAGATGTGTCATTCATTACACTTTGTTCCCAAGTGCGACTTCCCCAACTACCCCTCCCCCAAAGCTAGTTCCTTTTTCTTTTCCTAGTTAGACCCCACTTATGCCTTCCTTTTGCCGGGAATCCATTACCCCTCCTATTTCCCACCTCACTTAAGATCTCTTCCCCTACCGGGCAGGAATAGTGGTGCACACCTTTAATTCTAGCACTTGGGATGCAGAGGCAGGCAGATCTTTGTGAGTTGGAAGCCAGGCTCATGTACAGAGAGTTCTGGGAAAGCCAGAGCTACATAGAAAGACTTGGTCTCAAAAAGTCAAAACCAAACCAACCCAAAACCCCCAAAAGAAATAAACAAGCAAACTAACAAAAATTCTATCTCTTCCTCCCCTCTGATGATCCCCTTTCTAGTTTTGTGTATTTATAAGTTACGCAGATGTAAACATAAGAGATACATAGAAATGAAAACATTCATCTTTCTGAGGCTGGCTTATTTCGCTTAACAGAAGATTTATGGTTCTATCCGTTTTCCTGCAAACCACATGATGTCAATTTCCTTCATGGGTGCATAAACGTTCACTGTTTACATATACCACATTTTCTTTATCGATTCATCTGTTGATAGACAGACTGGTTCCATTTTCTGGGTATTTCAAACAGTGCAGCAATAAACAGGGTGTGGAAGTGTTTCTGTGCTGTGCTGACTGAGAACCCTTTGGGGGTGTGCGCAGGCCTGGCGTGGGTCTTTTTCAGGAATCTCAACGTTGACTTCCGTAGTGGCTGGAACTAGTCCAGATTTATTCCAGCAGTGAATAAGGGCTCCTCTTTTCCACATCCTTCTCAGCACTTGTTTTCTCAATGGTAGCCGTTTTCACTAGGGTGAGATGGGTGTTTGTTTGTATTTTCCTTATGCTCAAGGATTCTGATCATCCTTGAGGTATCCGCCATGTTTTTAGTTCTTAGGAGAGCTCTCTGTTGATTTTATTAACCCACTTAGTGATTGCTGGTTTGGTTTTTGGTATTTAATTTTGTGGTTCTTGTGATGTATTTTTATAACCATTCTATTCAATTCTTAGCTGTGCTGTTAATCTCTTCCTGTACCTAGGCTATAAGACCAACTGTGTCTTGGGTATGTACGTATGGGAAGAGACACAGTGGCTACAGGCTTGGCTGCATCCGTCACTTCAGATATTGGAACATATGGTATTTGAACAAGAGTGACTAGCTACTTGTGCTGGCTGGTCTTACGTCAACTTGACACAAGTTAGAGTTATCTGAAAGGAGGGAACCTCAATTGAGAAAATGCCTTCATAAGATCCTGCTGTAGGGCATTTTCTTAATTAGTGATTGATGTGGGACAGGTCCAACCCATTGTGGGTGTTGCTGTGCCTTGGCTGGCTGAGCAAGCCAGTAAGCAGCCACTCTTCATGGTCTCTGCATCAGCTCTGCCTCCAGGTTCCTGCCCTATTTGAATTCTTGTCCTGACTTTCCTTAACGATGAACAGTGCTGTGGAAGTGTAAGCCAAATAAATTCTTTCCTCCTTAAGTTTCTTTTGTCATGTGTTTCATCAAGCAATAGTAACCCTAACTAAGACAAGTTGGTACCAGGAGTAGGGTATTGCATTGCTGTGACAGACCTGACCATGTCTTGGGGAAGACTATGGAAGGGCTTTGGAGCTAAAGGCCACTTAGTGTTGAGAGATCAGTGAGCTCTTCTGTAGGAGCTTGGAGATATGAGTGTTGTTGAAGGAAACACGGAAAGTCGAGGCGTGTTAATCGCAGAAAACAGTGGCAGCTTGTGAAGTTTCAGAGGGAGGTTACAGACTGTTGGGGCCATCTGCTATTTTGTTACAATTACATGGTTCTGGTGAGCTGGGGCTGAACAATCAGCTGCGATGAACAAGAGGCCAAAACTGCTCAAGTGAAACTTTTCACTCTGCTGGGCTCTTGCTGCTGGTCAGCTGGAGCTGATAAATTAGCAGTGATCGAGAAGAGACCAGCATCGTTGAGATAAAAATCTTCTGGGAAGTGTCTCCTGAGAGTCAGCACACAAAGGCTGTGCTCCAAAGGCAACCAAGGGTGTACCTCACATTGTTAGCTGAACGTGCCAGTGTGAGGATCACAGGCGGTACTGGTTTTGAAGGCACAAAGGAGAGCTCGGTGCTGTGAGAGGCTAGGAGAAGATTGATGAAGGTGCAGCTCAGTAGCAGCTGGATGCCCAGGACTGAAGGATCGTGCCGAGAAGCTGAGGCTTGGTACCAGGAAGAGAGCCCAGGGAAGGCTATTGGTGAAAGTGCAGCCCACTTTCAGCAGGGACCCCAACAGTTTGGAAATGCCAGTTCCACGGGATGACCGCCAAGGGCGGCAGCGGTGGTGCCGGAGCCTAGAAAACACGGTGGTGTGCTGCAGAGGGCAGGGCTGTAAAAACGACCTCTTGGGGGACCCAGAAGATCATGGGTGAATCCCAGACAAGCGAACATTGTGTTATTTACACATTTTGGAGTTCAGTTTTGCTTGTTCAGATTGCGACTTTAAAAGACTGGATCTTAAAAGAGATTAGCTATTTTAAAAAGACAATATTTTTTAAGCGTTTGAAGTTTTAAAGACTGTGGGACTTTTAAATTTGGAATGTTTATATTGTAAGGTTGATAGTAATGTGTAATCTTAGGGAAGAAGAAAAAGGAGAGGTTATCGTTTAACAACATTGTGTTTGTCAAGTTAACAAGGGTTAATTGTGCTAGGCAGTTATGTGTCAGCTTGACACAAGCCAGTGTTATATCTGAAAGGAGGGAACCTCAAGACCCGTGTTACACCTTGAAAACCAAGAAAAAGTGGGTACGCAGTGGCCAGGAACTTGGAGCAATACTCTTCTCTAACCGTAGCACAGTGTAGGTAAAGCCACAGCCACAGCCACCTTGCTTTGAACAGAGCCACAGACCTTGGACCCAGCCTCCTTCACTTTTGCCTATCTGCACCAACCGTGAAAGCTGTGAGTCACCCCTCTCACTGGACCCCTCCATTTCCCCTCTAATGGGAAATAGAATCCTGGGGGCAGCCCAAGAAGGAGGTATGAACATTAGAAGCACAAGGCAACGAGAATGTAAAGAGAGCCTGGGCCCAGGGAGGGGCTGGAAACAGATGGATCGGGTGTTGAGTTTGGGGGAAAGCATGCTTCCCCATTTCAGGTTCTAGGAAGAGAGGAGCAAGGAGACACCATGCTGTGAGGTCAGGAGATAACTTTTCAGCTGCTGGGCGCATCACCTAAGCTGGAGCATCATCCGGGAAGAAGTGTAAAGGAACCCCCACTGCAGAGATTTTTTTTTTCAGTTACTGCTAATTTTCAAGCTGTTCCCTCTCTCCCGGAACGCTGAGGGAATGGGTGAGATGAATGAGAGAAGAGAGAAGATGAAGGCAAAGTACAGAGAGCAGGCCTGAGGCTGCAGAGCAGACTCTGGGGAGTGGAGACAGATGAAGTGGGAGTGGAACTCGGATCCTGAGGCAGATGTGAGGTACTGAGAGCCAGGGCGCTGACTAGGAAGATACAGGGCCGGTGTGAGGAGCTGCAGTCTCAGGGACCCGGCTGGGGTCTCCAGGGTGGACACTATCCATGTCACAACATCCAGCCAGGACTATTGGCACAGGAGTCGGCAGACAGTGCACGGTGTCTAGGCCTCATGGCCTGTGTTACTGTGAGGGCCACACTGTTGGTTTGGCCCAAACCAGGGAAGGAGACTCATGAGGAGAAGCTGGTGCCGGGAGAGGAGATCAGACATGCAGAAGAGTCTAGGAGAAACCAGAACTCAGTTTTTTGGTTCAAGACTTGAGGACTACGACGAATGATAAGAAAAATGAGGCCAGCCTTTTCCTTTGCACACTGTGACTGTGACCATATTACAGAGGCAGACTCACGAGGACACAAAAACACTCCCAACTTGAGAAAAGACTCAGAAAAAGGGCTGGGTCTACACATTAGAAGGCTCATGGGTGACTCCCAGCCAAGCAGAACCGACTCTCAAGAGCAAAACACAGATTCCTTGCCACTCCTGAGAGCAGTGTGAAGACACGCCCTCTACCCGGGCCTCCATGACTGAAGAGGGAATTCAAAGTGTTACCAGATGATGGTAAAGTGTCACTCAAAGGAAGTGCGACCTTTGGAGACTGCTTCGAGATGCAATGGGAATGAATGAGTAAGGGGGTAGATGCTGAGATCTGAAGGCAGAAGGCGGGGACCAGGGTCAGAGATGTGAAGGAAGGGGCATGCAGCCTTCCTGAAGGCTCTGGGAAAGGAATGGTCAAGCTGGTGAGGAAAGTGCTGGGAGGTTGTAGCTGGAGATGCTTGTGAATGCAGGTGACAGAGGCAAAGCCTCTGAGAACCCCACTGACCTCTTCACAACAATGCTAATCTCCAGCCCCAGCAGAGGCAGATGACTTTCTGCTTACATGGTGCCCATGGAGGCCAGAAGAGGGCATCAGATTCTCTGGAACTGGAGCTACAGATGGTTGTGAGCCATCATGTGGGTGCTGGGACTCAAACCCGGTACTTCTGGAAGAGTAACAAGGCTCTTAACTGCTCAGCCGCCTCTCTAGCCCCTTCTGCTGACTTTTAAATGAGCCTGCCGGGCCTCCTGTGTCTCACTCTGACAGGCCTTTCTCAGATTATCTCAGGAATTCCTGTGTGTTTGCAGAGATCAGAACTGCACACTGCCACCTATTTGCCTTTCTGGGCAGGTTAGCAGGTCTAATATTTGGCTAGTGGGCTGCGTCCTTTGGACAGGATGTGTCATTTAAGCATATTTCAGTCACTCCCTTCCCAGGAATATGAGTCACTGAAGCTGGCGATGCATCAGGGCTGCCCTTCCTGGGTTTTAGGACCATGCAGTGATTCCCAGCACAGCTTCAGCTGAGCACTGGACCCTACATACGGAGGAAGAGACTTTGAGAGGACTTTAAATACTCAGGGCACGAGGCAAGACTGGAATGCAGGCTCTCAGTCTGGCTGAGGTTTCCTTCTATGTACACAGGACCAGGCCACTCAGGTTCAGGATGGGAATGTCCCAGGAGGGAGGGGCTAACAAGAGGAGACTTACTGGGTGTTCCTTCAAGGTTTGCTTTGGCAATACTGTGTTTGTACAGCATAAAAATAATAACATGTGATTATATTTTCTGAACTTAAAACTTGTTGAAGACCATGACATGTGTAAATATGGAACGTATGGAAGATAAGAGACACTTTTCTGGAATTCTCTCTCATTTTAGGAAAATGGGACAAGGGAACCTTAATGCAAAGGTCAGAGATATATAGTCAGGAAACTGATTGTGGAAAACCATGAAATTAAGCTTGTAGTTCCTTCTACAACAAGCTTCAAATAAGAGAGAGAGCACGCACAAGGGCAGTGTGTGTGTTACTTAAAGACTAAAGGAAATGACAAAGACAGAAAACTGAGCTGAGCATCCTGTAATTCCATCACTGGGGAGTCTGAGGCAGGAGGATCCTGAGTTTGAGGCTAGCCTGAGCTATGTAGTGAGCCCACCATCAGAAGTAAGAGAAGGTGGAAAAAGAGCAGGAGGAGCAGGAAAGGAAGAGGAGGAAGAGGGAGAAAGAAGGAAGGAGGAGGAAGGGGAGGATGGAGAAAACCAGTCACCAAATGCAATGTCTGAACCATATTTGAAGATAGGAACCTTTTACAACACCCTTTCCTCCTAGCTTTGAATACTGGGGTCAGATGAACCAAGCCCCTCCCAAGACCTCGCCTGCCAATCCCTAGAGCCTGTGTGGTCTGCTTATTAACCCTTGCACATTTCAGGCTTGCCCTTTGTTCCTCTCCTTTGCTTCTGTTCAGTCTTTGCTCACAGTCTCCTCCCTACCAAATCTGCTGTCCCAGCCCACAGAGGACACACAGGGAAGAGAACAGGCACCAGGCAGACCAATCACCTTTCCTTGTGGGAAGAGGCAGAGGGAGGTGTAGGCAATGAGGTAAATTCTGGCTCAGCTGGCGGGAAGAGTGAGTTACACAGCTGGGGTCACCCAAGAAGAAGGGTGCCCCCTCACGTCACTGAAGAGAATGAAGCCAGCTGCTCTCTGAATCTCTTCAGAGCCATATCACATGCCCCACCTAGTTAGCTCCTTTTCTCTCTTCACAGGGGCCTCAGGACCAGTGGCCCACAAGACAACACCCAGCAGTGGAGTCAAGATCAAAGGAGCTCCTCAGAGAACAGAAACGCAAAGCTTGAGAGAGGAGCCAGTTCCCACCTCTGGCTACATGCCCACCCAGGGCACCTGAGGTAGCAGCTACTCAGGATGTTGCAGGGCCTGAGCTCCATGGTTCAGCCAGACACCTACTTGAGTCTTTCTTCTTCTCGCCTCCTGAGGTCGAAGTCCCGCTGAACCACGGCCCACACATGCTCGGCTTCCTCATCTGTGAGTTTGGAAAGGTCCAGCTTTTTCCCCATCTCTGCGCCTCATCCAGGCCACACCTGTAAAGTCACAGGGTCAGAACCAATCAACTCCAGAAAGCCCCAGGGACACCAAATAAGTCACAGGGTATGAGGCAGGTCAGAAAAACACCCACGGATGTGCACTGGACCAAATGGCTTGTTAAACAGATGAAGACTGTCTGGGGACCAAGGCCGTTTAATAAATTTTGCACAGTTTAAATGACCGGAAGTAAGTAGATGTGTGAGGGAATTAGTTCTTGTCCCTGGGGCATGCACACAGCTGCCTTCTCCTCGGTCTTTTTTTTTTCTGTGAGATGAGTGCCAATGGTTCCTCATTACAGCTCTGAGCCCATAGAGTCATTGCCCATGAGCTTCAGAGCTGACAGTGCAGAGCCAGAATGCACGGTGCTTCACAGAATGGCTCCCTATGCAGGTAGAGTGGCTAATCTCTACTGTCAGTGTGACTGGATAACGTATCTCTGGGTCTATCTCCAAGAGGTTTAGCGGAGGAGGAAAAACCCCATCCCATGGGCTAGGGTCCCTCACTGGAGAAAAATGACAGAAGAGAAAGAGCTGAGCACTAGCCTTCATCTCTCTCCACTTCATCGCTGAGGACTCCGTGTGACCACCCGCCCCACTCTGCCACCATACTCGTCACATGATGGACTGTGTCCTCTGTGTGCCCAAAAGCAATCTGTCTCTCCTTAAGTTGCTTTTGCCAAGTATTTTGTCATAGCAATGGGGAAAGTAACAAGTACCATAGGAAAGGTTCAAGATGATTCGTCATTATCTGAAAGATTCATGGACTTCCAGGGTGGGGCCCACTTGCTTAGGGTTGTCACATGGTAGAGAGACCCCCCCCCCAATGCCATACTAGCCATGATGGCAAATGCACTTGCCCCAGGAATATTCATGTGCTGCCCACAGTGAGACTAAAGGAAGAACCATCTGTATGGACAAGACTGTTAGGGGCTGGGAAGTCACTCAGGAGAGGTCAGCTGAGGGACTGCCCAGTGTAAATTCTTGTGCCCAGTGAATGCCAAGAGCCAGCACTCTCAAGGGGTCTGGGGTGGCTCAGGTGCAGTCAGACCCTGAGTGTACTGGTATGCAGGGTTTCTAGATGACCCAACAGCATGGAAGTCAAACTGGATTTTTGATTAGTTGATTACTTTTACTTAAGGCATAGTCTTGCTGTGCAATCCAGACTCTAATGAAACTCTCACTCCTTCTGCCTCAGCCTCCTGAGTTTGGTATTATATATTTTCACCTTCACATGAACTCCAACTTCAGATTTTAGAATTCTCCAAACCCGATATCCTTGTTAAGGCAAATGTCAATGAACACAGGAAACAAATACAGGTATCAGAGAACAAGATAGCAGAGCCTGATGTTTTCATTACTCTAAGTGTTGTCTATGCAGGCAGCCTTCTTTAGAAGCTGGTTAGGATGAAGATTCTCAGGCTCTGCCTAGCCCTGCCGACTTTGGCAAGCTCCTCAGGCAGTTTGTGTATATGTTAGAGTGGACTAGAATAGCCAGTCCACAGGTCTCCGTGGGAGGCAATATTGAGGGGGAGATTCGTTCCCTTAATAGTCACTAACAGCTTTTGTCTGTATGCTCTGAAGGGTGTGAGGCAGCCCAATGAAAGTGATTCTATAGATGAGCAGAGAAACATAGGCTCTCTATTGACTTTTTGTACAGAGATGTTACATGGATCTCACAAGGCATACCGACGTGACAGTGTATCTGGGTATAAAAGCAGAGGCATCCCTGGCAATGGAGGACCTTCCCTCATGCATCTTCACTGAGAACATGGCACAGCTCCACCCACTCCCCAGGGAGGGCTTCTCTGACCACACAGTAGGCTCCACTCTGCTGGTCATTCCCTACTTCCAGCCTTCTGAAGTTTCTTCATAGCTCTTAGTGGTCAGTGAGGTCATTTTGACTTCCCTAGTACACAGATCCTTTCTATGCTCCTCACTGTTTGCAGCAGGTCATGCAGGGAGGCTGGTCCAGCTGGCTCCAGAAACCACATGGTTCTAGGGAGGATTTTGGTTAGATGCTAGAGATACCTGTTTTGGGTAACCGCAAGTTGAATAGCACTGAGAGACCTGAGCAAGTTTTCCTTGAGGATTTGACCTAATTTCTTGGGAATAGTAAAGATGGGGATCAATCAGGTGCTCTCATGGGGAAATCTGCAAACCCAGAAGTCTCTGTCTTACCTTCAAATTCTGAGATTCACCCTCCTTTAGGCCCTCCAGTTAGAGTCAGTCTGAACATGTAAGAAGAACCACGCTTCTGTGCCAGAGAAATGCTTTAAGTTGGCCACACAGAAGTTAATTGTGACCCATAGCCTCAGCACTCATTAGGCTGAGGCAGGAAAATCTCTGCTTGGAGATTAGTGATTAGATTAGTGATTAGATTGGAGATTAGAGATTACATAGTGAGACCGTATCTCAAAGATGAGTTCAAAGCTAACAACACCAACCAAAAAGGCTGTGATGAATAATTTTCATTGTCTACCTGACTGGATCTGGGGTCACCTAGGAGACACACCTCTGGGCATGTCTGTGAGGGCATTTTCAGAGAGGTTTACTGGAGGAGGACTCAGCCTGAATTTGGGAAGCATCATCCCATGGGCTGGGGTTATGGGCTGAATTAAAAGGAGAAACTGGCTAAGTACCAGCATCCATCCTGCTTCCTGGCTGTGGGTGCTGTGTGTCCAGCTGTCTAACACTCCCGCTGCCACTGCTACAGTCCCTGCCTCTGCCATGCCTTCCCTGACGTGACAGACTGCAACCTAAAACTGTGGGCGACAGCAAACCCTTCCTTGAAAGGCTTTTGTCAGGCATGTGGCCCTCCCTCCCCCTGCAGCAAGGAGAAAAGCGAGTGATAACAGGCTAATAATGATAAGGTAATAACATCCAGGCAGATGTTACTAAAGTGAATTTCCAGAGCCCACGGCTGCCAACTGCAATAGCTTCCCAACATTCTGTGTCTTCAAATTGGTGGAAGATAATTTCTCAATTTTTTTTCACTCACCCCTCAATATTTCCAACCCCCAGCACACTGGTGATTATGAGGAATGCATTTAGAGGGTGCCTTGGTGTGGGCGAGAAAAGGTCACAAGGAACCGATATGCTCTTCAGGCTCTCCCCGCAGAGCACGTGGTGTCTGGCTTCCAGAGAACAGAAGAAGTTCTTATTTGGTGGGTGACTGGGGCTCATTCATTCTGAACCCTCATCATGTTAGAGCAAGTGTCTTACAGGGCAAGTATTCACTCAGGTTCTATTCTAGGAGGAGATGAGCAGCATGACCCTCAGCTGAGGGCCTCTCACCACCTCCTGAAGTAGAAATCAAAGTCCATGCGCACTTACATCCCAAGTGAGCAGGAAAATCCAAAGGACAAGCCGCCTGTTTCTTATCCTCATGGCTTGACTTCTTTTTTTTTTTTTTTAGTTATTAATTTTTAGGTTAGCATGCAGAGTAATTGGTTTCATCAAGGAATCCTCATGCATATGTGTCATTATACTTTCCTAGGGGTGCTCGGTGTCAGTGAGTGAGTGACCACAGCGATATCCATACCTCAGTATGGCCCCAGAGGCCATTGGGTACAGACGACATGCACCCTCCAGCCCAGGCTGAGGCTGTTTCTCTACCTAAGATGCTTGTTTCTTACAGTGAGAATTACTTTGTTTATTAGCCAAATGCCAATGATGCCTGAGGCTAGGAGGAGAAAAAGGGCGGGGGAGCCCACTGTGCGGGGAGGGGTCTGAACCTTTGCTGCTTAGGATGCAACCTCGATGAGGCAGGATAAAAGGGCCAGAATTGGTGCTAGGAAAGCATGGCTGGCAGTCAGCAGTGAAGCTCAGGGTAGAGCCTAGCTGAGATGCCTTAGGGAAGCAGGGTGGAGGGGCAGGCACTCTGTGCCCCACATCTGGGAAGCAGGGTGGAGGGGCAGGCACTCTGTGCCCCACATCTGGGAAGCAGGGTGGAGGGGCAGGCACTCTGTGCCCCATACCAGGTCAGGAAATCTATCTTGACAAAGCATATCTTGGAGAATCTATGATTGACTAATTCAGTGTCTGGAAAACACACACTTATGTCACACACACACACACACACACACACACACACACACACACACCCCGCTAAGCTAAGAACGATGTTGGCACTGTTTGGGTTGGAAGTCCGATGAAGTTTTCCTTTGATGCCCTTTGTGACTCGGGTCCCTTGTCCCTGAGTGCAGGAGGCTCTGGGAAGAGTTTGTCTGATGGTAACTTTGGCATGTCATGTCACTACAGGCCAGTACTTGTTGGCTATCACTGGACAACCAGAGGCTGAGAACCAGTGTCCCCAGTACGCGTCTTCACCTGCCACAGTAAAACCCTCCCGTTTAGAGAATCAATACAAGGCCAAGGCTTAAAGCTCGTGATCAAAATAACTATTTCAAGAAATCGATCTAAAAGTCAAACGAAGAATGTGTTTGACTCCAGGATTTTAAAAAGAAACAAAAAGTCAGTGGCATCTTGAGGACACGATGGGAGCTTCAGTGCCCAGCCCAGGCCAGCACTGGGCATGCTCACTTGAAGTAGGTGAAAGGGCAGCCCCTTGGCCAGGCATGGTGTGCAGCCTGCATCAAGTCGGTGACTCCTATCACCCCTGACTTGCTTGCTCCTCACCAATGGGTCTGCTCTTGTAAGTCTGTACTTGCAACAGTGAAGGGCCAGGAATGTGCCAACCCATAGAGGAGCCAGAGCTGCCTTGTGTGTGGCTGGTGGTGGTGGGGAGGGTGTGGGGTGGGGTGGGGGTGGGGGTGGTGTTAGGGCAGCCTCTGACTGTTCCTTGTCTGTGCTGATAACCCAGTCACGAGCTTCCTGAGCCCAAAGTGCTCTCAAGTTCTCTCTGCTCCACCGCTCAGCTTTAATCCTGTTTCAAACCACCAAGATGCCAGCTGTCCCCAGTTACTTAATGATCATAATGGGGAACAGGGAAGCATCAGAAAGTGAGGCCAGCCAGAGGGAAGGAGGGAGAAAAACCAAGAGGGACCACTCGGACCCAACTGCGGGGTTTCAGGGGAATGTTGTCTTTATCTTTAAAGATTTGAATTAACGCTTTGGCCACACTGAAGGGAAACCTGGAGACAAAGACCTGGTTTCTCTGCTTCTAGGGCTGCCTGCCCCAGAACCTGGCACAGCAGTGACTGTGAGCAAACAAACCAGGAAACAGCTCAGCGGATGCCAGCTGGCAGTGGCAGGGATACCCCCTGTCTGGGCCGGGCAGGTCCTGCTGAGAAAGGTGTAAACAGACATGCCAGCTATGACCCCTTTGGGTCTGTCTCCAGAGCTTCTGGCGGTGGTTATGGGGTGATTAGGGCTCACACCACAGGGATACCGGGGCCTCCTGCCTCCAGAAGCAGATGGGCACACTACCACTCAGAAAGAAGCCCTGGAGCACCAGGTGCCGAGGTGAAGCTCTAGAAAGGCTCCTACAAGCCAGGTGGCCTGCCATCACTTGTAGCTCCACCTCTCTGTTCTTCCTGGTATCTCAGGAGCCTCACTTCTCCATGGCCATCGGTTCTGACCTACATGCAAAGCCTCCACTCCAGGCTGTGGCAAAGAGCCAAACCAGGGGCAGCGTCCAGTGAGTCTGCAGCTGGGCTTCCAAACCAGTTCAGGCATGGGCAGCTTTGCTGCAGACAGGTCCCCCCTTCTCTCAAGATCTCTGCTGTGAGAGGTTGGGCTCCATGGCTGTTCCTGTCAGCTGGCATTCGCTGAGGTGTTCCCAGTTTGTTTGCTCACAGTCAGGGCTGTGCCAGGTTCTGGGGCAGGTGGCCCTAGAAGCTGATAAGTCAGGTCTTTACAAAGGCCTCTGGTCATCTCTAACCCAGTATGATGCTGGGATCTTAGACTTTAGAGGCACCATGGTGGTTGGGTACTGTGTGCATATATGTTGGGGGAGGGGGCCTTCTTTCAAAAGTTGTTTTTGAAAAGAACAAGATAGGGAGCCCTAAAAGATGCTTTAGCTGCTTAACCAGGGCATGTGGCCATTATGTCAACACTGAGGGAAGGAAAAGGCATCATTAGCCTAATAATTCTGGGGATCTCTTTGTCCCTCCCCACTACTCCCCCTCCCTCAGCACTCTGTAGCTGTTTCAGAGCCGCCAATGCTTCCATCAGAAAGACTCACCAATGCCTCATGCATGTGCCTGGACCAGGCTCTCAGTCCTGTGCCACCTGCCATGGTCCCTCAGTTGGGGGAGTGTGTGCCAAACGACAGGTATCCCGCCAAGGACCCATTAGGCCCAGGGATGCCAACCTTACTGCCCGGCTTCCTCTGGTCTTCAGCTCATCCCTTTTCCTGAGACTTGATGGCATGGCTATCTAGTGGAGTCTTGAGCCCTCGTTATCACTCAAAGCTCTCAGAAGGAAACAGGAACACGGCATGGAAAGAGATGGCATGCCAACCCATTTCAGATGAAAGCAAAGAGCTGTGTTTTTAGTTCAGGTCAGTAGGACAAAGGTGTGTGCCCTGTGAAATATTCCTGGATCTGTGAGACCCAGCTCCCTCACAAGCTTGGAAACAGTGGTGGCGATGCCCGAAATGCCTATAGCTCACCCACCTTTCTTCTCTCATCTTCACAATAAGGAGGAGCAGGACCCAGGAGGGCACCAGATTCCACTAAACCTGGTGCTTTCAGAGGTCTGGAGGAGGGCAGGTGCCGCCTTCATGCAGGAATCTGCCTTCCTGCCTTCTTCCCCCAAGGCCAGCAGGACAGCCAGGAGGAAGTTTCTCTCCAAATAGCCCCTCACCCAGGGCTCTGTCTCTGGGGAGTGTCAGGTTTTATCTCAAAGGAGGCTTTTGATTAAAAGCAATGGTTTTAGCCCCAGTTTGGCCCTCCAAGGGTTTAGGGTGGCCAAAACATCCAGAAGAAGCCTTGGAGTTGGTTGGTTGGTTGGTTGGTTGGGTGGGTGGGTGGGTAGGGAAGGACTGAGTGAGCACTTTCTTCACAAGCACCAACCGGAGGGTGGCGCTGCACCCTCCCTGAGACCTAGATCCCCTCTCCTGGGGGTCCTGCAAGCCCCAGCTTCTCCATGCACTCACCAGTTTCTCTCCCGGGGACGCTCAGCCCCTGGCTCTGGCTCCAGGAGTCCTGGGCTCTGCTCGTTGCTCTTAGGTTCTGAGTGACAAACCCCAAGCTCCAGTCCGGTCAGGGTGCACTGAGCTAGACTGATCGGTGTGCAGGGAGCCAGGCAGCTGTGGCACAGGACCTGCCCAGCTTGCCGCCTGCTCAGATCACATGGGCTACTACTCCCTGTCCCGCCCAGCTCCGGGATCACCGTGCACCCCCGGGTGCCGGGACAGGGCACAGGAGAAGCCAAGCACGCAGAGAGAGGACGCCAGGGGCTGAGAGGCTCCGGTCTGGGTGTGGAGGTCCGAGCCTCCCAAGCTGGTTGGGAGAGGCTAGGCTGGACAGGAAGCGCAGCACACACCTTGGTGTCCAGCTTGGCGCCACCACTCCGCCTTGGTCTCCTAGAGGAGGAACTTGCTGGCACAGTGTGTCCTCAGAGAGCGCGATTCCTCCTTGAATACATTCTAACTCTTTAAAGAGACAGCTTCACTGATAGAGAAACCACGGCTAAGAAAACCTCTGAGTCCAGGGTTTCCAGCCAGAGTCTAGCGTCCCCCAGGTCCTCAGATTGCAGGATGCAGCTGGATCCAGAAGAGCCCCCTCCCCCTCCACCGTCCCACTCCCCTCCCTGCCCCACTTCCCCCACCCCTCAATGTAAAGAGAAACAAAGGGGTTTGACCACAGAGGTGCCTAGAAGACAGAGCCTTCATGCAGGCATCATAATGAGCTCGCAGGGTAATGTAACAAGTTGAAACACACACACACACACACACCTGTACAAAGTCTCTCTGTGTAGCCTGGGAGGCCTGACACTCACCATGTAGGGCAGTCTGAATTCACAGACACACACCTGCTCCCACCCCCCAAGTGATGTGATTAAAGTGTATGCCAACATGCCTGGTCATGATCAGCTTAGGTGGATGCTGGGGACTTGAACTCAGGCCCTGTGTTTGCTCTGCAGTGATGTTACCCATGGAGCCATCTCTCTAGCCCCGTTGTCTCTTAATATTCAGATTGAATCCTCTCCTCAGACTTTCCCTGGCTTCTGGACTATGTCATGCTTACTTTGTCCCTAACTTTGGATTGGCCTGGCATGTCTTTTCATTTGGAGGGAATCTTCCAGGAGCAAGGATGGCTTCTCTCTGCTGTCTGTCAGGGGCTGTGTAATTAGAACTATTAGAGGGTGGGGCCTAGCAGAGGAAGTGGGTCATCAGGCATGGCTCCTCTGCTTCCTGTCTGTGAGGTGGGTAGCTTGAAAGGGTTCTCCTCACCACAATGCTCAGCCTCATGGAGTAATGAAGTCAAATGACTGGACAGAACCTTGTGGAACTTTGAGTCACACTAAATCTTCCTTTAAGTTACTTTCTCAGCTCTTGTCATAGTGTCAGATCTCACTAACACAGACTTTACAAGAGTTATCATAAATGCATTCCACAAATCCATATCCTAAAGTAGCCCAACAGCCAATTGTAAACCACCAAGCAATCAACCATGAGTTCCTAAAGCCAGGGGATCAGAGTTACCCACAGCGGAGCCATCTTGGGGAAGAATTTCTACCATATACTGTGCACAAATGCTCTGTCTACATAGTGGAAACGTCAGCCTTCACCTTGGAGGCAAGGCACAGCACAGAACAGCACCATGCAGTATCCACCATGACCATAACCCATCTGGACTAGTAAATCCCAGTCCCATGCAGGGGAGGGACACAGTTTGATGGAAATCTGTGTGTTTCCATCTCCCTCGTAGGAAGATGCAGGAGACATTCTGTACAGTGAAGGGGAGAGAGGCCACTGTCCCTTCACTAGGAGAAAGTTCTTTGGCATTCTGTTCTTTTCCATTTTTTTTCTGGCCTGGAACTGCTTTGTGGTGGTGAGGTAGAGGTGAGGGTGGGGGAAAATTGAGGGGTTTTGGGGTCTGAAACTGCAGAGACTGTCTGGTAACCAGGAGGAGACAAGTGGGAGGCTCCCCTAGGAGATAGAGGTAAGGATCCTGGGTGGACAGACAGGTTTGAATCCTTATAATATCACAATCTGTCTTCTCAGTAGACAGTCTATCTGTAACCCCCTTGTTACGGGAACAGCATTAACAGCCTGTGTACGCCACTGTCAGATGGGGAAGTGAGTGCGGTGACCCCATGAAGGAGAGCAGGAGGAAGGTGGATGTGTGTTGAGTCAGTCTCACAACTTTCAAGGTGGGTTCCCAAAACGGTCCCCAGTGAAGACAAAACTTCCTGCTGCTTCCTGTGCCTTAAGATACAAAGGACCCATATTTTCTCTTGTTGCAGGTACTTTTTGTGATCCTCCTGCCTCAGCTCCCCACTCCCACCCCCCCACCCGAAGGCTGGGATTGCAGACACGCCCTTTCCCCTTGCTTGCTTTCTTCTCTCCTTCCCTGGTCCTTCCTAAAGGTCTTCCATTTTCTGTGCACCAGGAGATGAGGGTCTGGGACATCCTGCCAGGACTGGTCCCTGGCATTCCCAGGTTGCTACAATGTGGATAGGCCAGCGCCAGGCTCATGTGAGATGCTTTCCTGGTAAGGCGCTCTTGGGATCATAGAGAGGGGATTCTCCCTGGCTGGCCTCTGAGACCCAGTCCTGTGAGCGATGAATGCAGTGTCCTGCTGTGACTCCTTCACACAAAAAGGGGGCGACAGAACCACAGCTGCTGGACCTGGGCACAGTGCCAAACCATCAGCAGCGGGAGTGGGGCGGTCACCTGTCACAGTCAGCTGACTGAAGCCAAGCCCTGTTTAATTCAGGGACTCCTTCTTGGGGCCCTCATCATCCAAGGTGCCCCTGCCAGGGTCCCCCTCCTTAGCAGCCTGGCTTCCCTCGAAGCCCGCTTGGTGTGAAGCCAGCCCTGTGACTCACGCTCCCTGAAGGGCAGGGCTGTGGCTTCTGTACGGAGTGCCCGCCCTGTCTGTCCCCGAGGTGGTGGCCCGGATCCCACCCAGTGTCTTCACTGGGTTCAGGCCACCCACTCCTGGGACAGTGTTGCCTTTTGTCAGAAGACTTTTATCGGGGAACTCAGTTCACCACCCTGCGTTCTGGTGGCCTGATCTCTCTGCCTGGACTTCAAAATGAATCCATACTAAGCCCCAACTAGGTTACCATCCGGGACCCTCATCCAACAGTTCTCACCCACAAACTTCATAATGCTCAATTTTGTTCTCCCCTTTCCCCCTCCTTTCTGTTCCCTTCCTCTTTCCCTCCCCACCCCTTTCCTCTCTCCTGCCCGCCTTTCTCTCCTCCTTCCCCCAACACTAAATTAAACAAATAAACTAACTCCAGTCCTGACGCTCTGGCCTTGGTTGTTGGCCAGTTTAGGGTACTGCTTTGCAGAGCTTAGGAACTTTTGAGTCATTTGGCTCCACTCCAGTTCTGCTTGGGGAGTCCCTTGGTAGGGTGGAATGCTGGGATTTCCCACCACCAGGGTCCCTAGCCCATTGCCCATCTAGACTCTAGGACCTCTCAGTCTGCAGGGACCCAACCAATGGAGCCTCCTGGGGACCTCAGGTAGGAAAGCCTCCATCTCTCCATCAATCTGCTTCTGCTAGGAAGGCTGGCACTCCAGCGGGGTCCTGGACCCTGGGAAAGGCCTGTCCCCTACAGGCCAAGTCTCTTGGGGCATCACTTCTGGCAACACTATGGCAGATAGGGCATCAGGGCATTTAGGGTGATGCCGGGGACAGGAGCAGTAAGGGGAAGGGACAGGCTTTGTTTTCTAGTGGGAGGTTGGGCAGAGTGTGGTGTGGGACCCAGCTTGCCATTTCTAGGAAACAATAGGAAATGAGGTGTCTCTTTGCTTCGCAATTCTCCCTAAAGACCACCAGGCTGCTGAGGTCTCTGTGTGGCTAGAGGCCATTGATTTAGTGATAATGAGCTCTAAGGTGGAGTCACCTGAACTCCTTTGGGTGCCACGAGTCCCTTGGAGCCATAATATTCTGCCTTTTGAGATGCCCTTTCCACTCCACGCCCAGGCCCAGGCATCCTTGTCTAGGACATGTTTTTCAACCGTTCTTCACTTTTGTTTTTTTTTTTCCCCCTGCAACCAAATATCCCATTCACCCTCACCAGATACCTAAGCATCCTGAGAGGGTAAATGCCAGAAGAGCAAGGGCTTCAGGGTCAACAACCTTGCTAGTCCCTATCTTTCAGGTCTTAACTGGGTGCAGGCCTTAACTAATAGTTTTCCCCAAGTAGGATGGGTGATTTCTCCAGGCATCTGATGCCCTCTTCTGGCTAGTTCAAGTTACTGCATGGGCTCAAGGGACCCAGAGTGACATGCAACCAAGGAGCAATTAACACAGAGCTGACACCTTCATTCTTTGGTCACTAGAGTTGGCCCAGCTCACTGGCCATGTCTGCTAGTAAAACTTCCAGCCATGGTACCAGGTGCCCAGCCCCTGTGACAAGAGCTCTGTTTAGACTCCCATGGTAGGTGGCAATCCCAGTGATCTCGTTCTGTTTCTCTCTCTCAAAGATTGGACAACCCTTCTCATTGTCTTCCAGCATGGCTGGGTCCTAGACCAGCTGTCGTTGCTTTCTTGATTCTAACTCTCCCTTCACCTGTCGTTGGATCTTCAAAACTGCTTTCTTATAAGTGAGCTGGCTACAATGTTAGGGGTCACTCGAGGGCCACAGCTTTCAAAGCGATGGGCTTGACGGCATGATAGACCTGGTTCATGATTTCATGTGCAGAAAACTTTACAAAGTGTGCCGGTTAGTTTTAGGGCCACTTGACACGAGCTACAGTCACCCGAGAGAGGAAACCTCAATTAAGAAAATGCCTTCATAAGGTCTGGGCTATAGATAAGCCTGTAAGGCGTTTTCTTACGGGTAGGGCCCAGCCCACTGTGGAGGATGACATCCCTGGACTGGTGTTCCTGGGTCATATAAGGAAGTAGGCTGAAGCTGGGTTTGATGGCCCACATCTGTGATCTCAGCACTTGGGGAGGCAGAGGCAGGTGGATCTCTGTCAGTTTGAGGCCAGGGTGGTCTACAAAGTGAGTCCAGGACAGCCAAGGCTACACAGAGAAACCTTGTCTCAAAAACCCAAGCCCAAACCAAAACAACCCCACAAACAAACAAACAAACAAACAAACAAACAAAAGCAGGCTGAGCAAG